CAAAATTAGAAATAAGGGCAAAATAGTTTCTGCTGGGTATTGAGGGGGTGGGGGGAGAGGGAGGGGGCAGAGTGGGTGGTAAGGGAAGGGGTGGGGGCAGGGGGCAGAAATGACCCAAGCCTTGTATGCACATATGAATAATAAAAGAAAAAAAAAAGTTCCTTCCTGGCTCACAGTTAATGTTCATATAATAGCAGTCTTGGTGGGCTTGTGGTTCGTGCCTATAATCCTACCTACTCAGGAGGCAGAGGTCAGAAGGACTGTGGTTCAAAGCCAACCCAGGCAAATAGTTTTAGAGAACCTATCTTGAAAAAACCCATTACAAAAAGGGTTGGTGGAGTGGCTCAAGATATAGACCCTGAGTTCAAACCCCAGTACTTCAAAAAACAAAATACCAGTATTAGCTCAACATAAGTCTTGCCTATAATTCATACTTATCTTGACTTAGGTACAGTTAGACTGCATATAATCTACTGGAAGTCCATCCTAAGTATTTTACCATGCTGGCAAATATATTTTAAAAGGCAAAATAATTTTGAGTTCTATATATACAATGATATGCACAAAGGACACCATAATTTGGCAATTTCTCTATCGTTTGTAGCCTGTTTTTCCCCCATTCTCCTTTATGATTGTATTGCAATAAATATTCATTTGATAATATAGCATATTTTATAATAAAATATATCCTTAATGTAAGTTCATGCTTCATGGAAAGGATCTTAACCTTATTTGTGGCTCCAATGGAACTTATCTAGTGGTTTATGTATGTATTACATGGATTTATAGTACTGCAATATAAAAATATTCAGATGTCCTGTTTATAAAAAACAGAAAATTACCTGGGAAAAGGTAAATATCTGGTGATTATTAAATGAATCAAGAACAGTATTAATCATTATTTCATCAATTTGTATTAGCATCTGACCCAAAATAAATTATGTCGGTGTTACTTTTTTTAAATTTAAAAGATTTTTAAATCTTTGTATTGAATGTGATACATTTTAAACTTGAAAGACAATTTTAAACAGTAGAATATCATAAATTTTGTTTTCTTTAAAAATAAAGATATACTTTTGTGTTTACTGATTTGTTGTTCCTAGAGGGAAAAAAAATACAAATACATTGTTTGGAGTTGATTCACACAGATACAATGGTGTGCCTCCGAAACTAAAATCAAAAAGGAATTGAAAATTTTACTTAAATTTGAAAATGATGCACCTGTTTGATCATTTGGTAAATCTACCTTCCTGTTGCTGTCCAGGGGGCAAAGTGACTAATGGATGTACTTATTTTCTATTAAGCAATTGGTAGAGATCTTCTCCCTGATAGCATTGGCACATAGATAGTATATTGTTGATAAATTATCTGAGTGTAGTGGAAAGTAATAGAAACATGTAGAGTCAAGAAGAATGGATACATTTTATTTCTATTTAATATGACTGTTTTCTTTGATATTTTACCGTACTACATAGGTAAACATCTGTGATGTCAAATTTCACAAATAGAGCCATACTAACTGATCTTGTTCTTTTCTAACTTTCAGTATAAAGAACGTAACTCCAAAAGTAGGGGACCCTGAGACTCGTAAAGCTATTCGCCGTGCCTTTGATGTGTGGCAGAATGTAACTCCTCTGACGTTTGAAGAAGTTCCCTACAGTGAATTAGAAAATGGCAAGCGTGATGTGGATATAACCATTATTTTTGCATCTGGTTTCCATGGAGATAGTTCTCCCTTTGATGGGGAGGGAGGATTTTTGGCACATGCCTATTTCCCTGGACCAGGAATTGGAGGAGATACTCATTTTGACTCAGATGAGCCATGGACACTAGGAAATCCAAATCATGATGGTAAGCGCATCATTTCTGAATTACGTAAAGAGCCCTTCTTTCCTTTTTTAGAACACCCAATAATTTTCTGATTTACAACTTAAGGTATTGATTCTAAACCAATTTTTTAATTATAAAAGCAGTATGTAGGGCTTTTTAATGATTTAGTGTAAGAATTGATACAAGTCATTACAAAATATATCATATGTGTGTTCTTTTGATTAAATACTAGAAACTTACACAATATCTATAAACACTCTAAAGTAAATTTTGCTTCCTACAAAATGTCACTTCTTGAAAGATTGGGTAGTCAGTTATTAAAGTCACAAGACTTAAAGTCATTGAGCAAATTCTGTTATTTTTCTATACTTTATGCAGGTATTTCCACTTGAAGTTTAAACCTGCTTAAATTAACATTTGTGGTGTGACTTTTACTGTATATTTTCCACTGCTTTCTGCTTTTATCATTTTTCTAGTCTATAAATTTTTACCTCTTCTCCTTTGTCACTAATCAATTTGATTGGTCTCCCAGTCTAATAAGTAACCACATGATTTATTAACTTTATAGTATGTGTTTATCTTTGTCACAAGCAATTTCTTACAACTTTATCCCATTACATTTATTGGTTTTCTAGTTCTTATTCTGATGTTCAAAAATAATTTAAAAATCAAAAAACTTAATGATTAAAAGAATAGGCACTTGATATAAAAGTCATGTGTCTCTTCCTACACAAAAGTGTATATTTTCAATTCTTTTTAAAAAATAAGAATATGAGATACTGGAGTCATAAGATTTCTAAACTCCATAGCCCTCACTCTTGCAATCAAGACTTAAATATTTATTTTCTTTTTCAATTGTACTGTGTTATTCTACTACAAGCATTCATTGCTTTAATGACAACTACTCAACTAATGAGGCTGTTTAATTCCTCTTTGATGAGTTAAGCCTAGTATGAAATTAAGATTTGTTAGTTCATTACAAGGTTTAGTTAGCTGGATTATTGTAATAGTCTTGAGTTGTTAGGATACCTAGGGTTCAATGATGTGATAGATAGACTGAACTAGGTTGAGTTAAACATAAAATAGTATTAGTTTTCAAAGAAAGGATAACTGTCCTTGTTTTACACAATAAAATAAACAATATGATGTTCAGGTGATTTGTTGAATTGATCATTACTGATGTATATTATAATAGTAAAGGATGATTACATTTTTAAGGACTCATTTGAAGATAGTGGCAGATGTATCAGGGAATTTTTGTTTAGTGGGATGAAAAGCCAAAAACTTTGGTGACAAAAAGTTTATGTCTAAATCTCAACTAACTGATCATTATGTCAAAAAGCTTCTAACATGTATATTCTTATTTTTAACGTGCAGTTTGTATTGTGGGCTATGAACATTGTAAGTAGGAGTGTTTTCTACACAGGCATGTTTAACCTATTTTCTATACATCTAATAATAAAATGTCTGAAAACATGATAGCTGAGCCAAACAAGTTGTGTTAATTTGTTTGATGACCTCATAAATTTAAAATGATTTTAATCTTATATAAAGGATATACCTATCAAATTGCTTATATTTTGACCAAAAGTGTTGAAATCCTCAATAAAGAAGACTGTACTAATCCTCTAGGTATATGTTCTATTAGACATCAACCTATACTTCTTGAATTTAAAAAAATCTATAGGGGGATTTGAGTATGTAGGAAATGAGAATGTTTATATTGATTTGAGTAGGATCAGTGCTATGAATGTTTGTGTGTTTTTTATGATCTTAAAGGTTTTCCAATTAATTATATGGGGAAAAATCTCAAATATAGTGCATGACCTACAACTGCCCAACCAACTCCAGACATGTTTGACAAAGGGTATTCATTAATAGATCTTATTGTCTCTTGACGTGTTCTGTGAAAGTATAACAATCTTTGCACATAGGCATGTGACCAAAAAACTTAAACAAAACAATTATTTGTTATTGGTTTTTCATTTGGTAGAAAATACGTCTTTACCAGTCAAGTAAAAATATTTTGCCTATGAGAGTGCCTAAAGGAAAGAACTCTGCAAAATAATTGTGTTTCAGAATTGGGGATTAGGGAGATGTTAATTGACTATTGGAAATGTAATTCCATAAAGATTTACTACTTAATTGAAATTCAGACTCTTAACCAGGAACAGCAGGGCCATTAGGATAGTGTCACTCTGAAGTATTGATCATTTATTAAAAGAACAGCCTCTAGGTTTTCTTGTGGTATTGGTGGATGTGGGGAGAATTCATGCATTTGTACATCACAAATCCTAAGTATGGGAGACTGTCATTTTGTATTACAAATACCAGAAGGCACAATTCTGACATCTTCATTGATAAACTTTCTTTTCATTAATCTAGCTCTGGAATGCCCCTGGCTTACTTACCTGAGTTGTTTTCTTTCTCTCCTATTTACATCTCTTGAGCATCTCTAAAACAGAGCAGCTTGGTTGTACAACAAAAATGCAAATGAAAAAGCCTCTTGATAAGTACCAAGCTCATTCTCCACAGCATATTGCTCAGCTAATGAAGGCAATTTGAATTCTGTCTACCTCAAAAGAGATAAACAGTGTCTTAGGCTGCCAGTAACCTTGAATTCATTGTTATCTACTCTCCTGTCTATTTGCTTAATGTCATGATACCTTTTGAAAACACAAAGCTAAAGGCCATTTAGCGGATCAAACAATCATATTCTTAAAACAAATAAGCACATTCACACACACACACACACAAACAAACACATTCCTAATAAAAATACCACCCTCTTTTCAGATTTTTGTTGGGTTTTTATTTTTGCATAGTAAAGAAGCAACACATGCATAGTAATACAAAATATAAAATATTTATCATGATATGGTTTTTGAAAAGTATACATTGCTTGAAAATATTTTGGATAATTTAATGTTTACCAGAATGCTAAGATTCATTATAAGTAACATTAATGTATTGTTGGTATAAAATTTAAATTGCATTATCAATTAAAACACAGGCAATTACAGAAATTATTTATAGTCAAATATCTACCAGTAAGATTTCAAAGTAATCATCTCCAAGGAAAAAAAAAAACATTGCCTAAGAAAATAACATATAAAACCTATAATAGAAAAATATCTTGAGTTATATCCTATTTCACCATGTAATTGCAATTTTATTTTTTAAAAATCACATTGCAATAACTGCTTATCGTTTGAAAGTTCACTGCCTAACACAAGGAGGAAACCAACAGTGTTCAACCTTGTCATGGCAGGTTGTCTAAACAAGCAAAAAAGAATCACAGAGAGATGGCTCAGGAATGCAACTCAATGATAGAGAGCTTTTCTAGTAAGCACAAGGCCCTGGGTTTGATTGCCAGCACTGCAAGACACACACACACACACACACACACACACACAAAACCTCAGGGAAAGAGAAACAACTATAAAAAATACCATCCAAGACATCAAAACTCATTAAATATATTCTGTTATTGAATGTGAAATGATTGACTTCTACACAGAGGCTCACTCACTCTTAAATGCACATAGGTGAGGAGTCTTAGGATGTGATTCTTGAGTCAATGGACATGACTGGTAATATTGAAGAGAGAAGTTGTCCTTGGTGTACTAGTGTAGAAAGCACCTGCCCAAAGTTAGACAGAGACTTGATATTACTGGGTGGTCAGGACTTTAATCTGTCCTTAAAACAGGAGTACTTATCGGAATTTTAAATTCAAAAATTAACTCTTATCACATACTTCTTACCTGCCATATTTTATTTTGGAAGCTCTGGTCTCAAAAGTATTTGGCTTTCACAATTGTGATTGAGTTTCTTATTTGTTTTTTAAAAATATGACTTCTTTCCTTCCTGGAATGAATTTCATTTCAGTAAGTTTATTTCACTCAACTAGACTGGTAACTAAAAGTCTGATACACTTGACTTTTGCAAAATCTTTCGGTTATGGACTGTCAGGTGATTGTTATGCAGTAATGACTTGGTTCTTTATTTTTAGATCTTTGTGTGCAATTAGAAATAGCAGATGAATGGGGAAGTCACACTTACAAAAAATGTCTTCATGTAAGCATGAAGAAAATATATAGATGGATCGTGAATATTCATATAATATAAATTTCTTAAAATGAAACATATAAAACCATGCATGTTGATGGGGTGACACAATAGAATTTTATTTCCCATGCATGTGATGAGGCAGAGGGGCTCCACTGATATTCTCTATCAGAGATCCAGATACATGGGAGCTCAGCCATCATTAACATATAACTTTCAAAGTTGACTTGGATGTCAGCTTAGAATTGGGAAAACTCATAAGTTTGCTCAAGGAAGAACTTTATGTGTCAGACTCACAAAAGGTGTATTTAACATTTCTGCATGAATTCCACCAATTTGTATTCAATTCTATACCTGAAAGGATAGAGAAAGGTGATAGTTTTAATAAGCATCTATCCAGTGTCTTCTGCACCAAAATTTTGGGCGGTAAAGCAATACTAAAATTTTTGATTCACCTTGTATGGAAAAGTTGCTTAATCATAATTCACCTTCATTTAAAATCTGCCCTTTAACCATTAGCTACTGGTGTTCTCCTATTATCTACCTAGATATTTTTCCTTTAAAAATAGGTTATTTGTCCTTATATCTAGGTGGTCATCAACAAAATTAAAATTTCAGTTCACCTATTTTTACAAATATAAACGACATCTTTAAGTTTTTGAAATAATCCAGTTGGTTTGAATTAATAATTTGATGATTTTATTGCTTAAATTATCAAACACTAGAAACAAACGTCTACCTTAGTTTTGTACTTTGTTTTTTCAGAATAGTCACAACATCTTCTGAATCCATTATTAAATCCTGATTTAGTAAATCCTTTACAGTTTAAGAAAACTAAGCTGTCCACTGGATGTTATCCTCATACTTAACTTGCAACCCTCCTCTACATTTGACCTTAGATGTCACCACAATTTCCCTCCCCCCGTCTGTTGATGGCATATGAGAGTGGCAGT